ACAGAGTGGGTAGATAGACAAAGCGATCCTGATCATGGTTGATTACAGAGTGGGTAAATATACAAACAGGTCCAGATCATGGTTGAATACAGATTGGGTAAATAGACAAAGAGATCCTGATCATGGTTGATTACAAATTGTGTACGAGACGATGAGATCCTGATCATGGTAGATTACATGTACAAAGTGTGTAAATAGTACAGAGTATGTTAGTTTAAAGGTTAATGCAGATAACAGAGAATGAAGGTATCAAAGTTTCAAGCAAACTATGTTCATGTTCAAAGAGGTTTTAAAGGGACAGGTGATTTCCGGTACGTAGTCACCAACCAACGACGTACTCGTTAAAATCTTGCGAATTGTCCTTCAAACAGTATTACGTAATGTTACAGGGATACATTTCTAGTATTATATACCGTTGTCTGTTGCTCCTGTTAACTTGATACAGTTGAACAGTAGTGAATGTCCTTAATAGAATAGAATCTAGTAACTTCATGGACTTTCATGCCGTCACTCTCCTGGTGGAGGTTAGACGGTTTGATCTGTAGACGTGTCATGTCGCGTTGTGTAACCTGACCAGTCGTTAGTCTGTTCTGATCTATACTTATATGACAGCCGTATAAACATCACACCGTTTCACTATTTACTCCGTGTGAGCAATCAATTTATTACCAATTTACTGTAAAAGCCTAAACAGCTATACCATTAACCTTTCGGTACGCTATGCAAGGATGAAGACGGGGTTTCTACAAATAAAACTGACCGGCTTACAACTTAAATGTCACGGTATAGTTTACACTAATTCTCATTGATGATGTCGTTTATTTTACTTTAAGGAAACGTACCAAGAACACGTGCGTCATCTCCAGCAGGTGCTGGGAATCCATGACGTCACCCTTATACAACGGTTACTCTCTGTCACACGAAATATTCTACCTGCAGATTGGAAGACAGGTAGATAGATTTACGAACCTTTTACTTTACCTAGCTACTAACCGAATCATCCTCAGGTCATACTAATCTTTGATCGAGCATGCAGTAAAGGGAAATATAATTTTTGAAAGATAGTACACGATTTATTTAAAGTATGCAATATTTATGAATTCATTTTTTTTTTTCTGCTTACAAGAATAATAAATGTCTTTAACGTACTTAGAATCTTGTATGTCAGTTGAAAGATAGTACCAAAAATAATTTTGGTGAACTTGTATGTTATTACTAGATATCTCCTTAGGGGACTGACGAGACATTTTATTATATGTATCGGAAGATCACAAGGAGACCGTGGTATCTGTGACAATCACACGATTACTGAGCTGTTAGATACTGACGAATCAAGCCTAACGTAGTTAATGCATACAGTTGGTGTATTTTAAATATAAATTGACGTATGTATTGTCTAGTTTGGTTGTGGGGCTGAGATGGAAATGAGACGTTTGGCCGCTGGTCAAGAGTCCATAGAGAAAATGCATGACGATTTTTGTGCCAATATGCTGAACGAGGCCACTATTATTGCTAAGGAGGGCTTCCCCGAGCACAAACAGGATCTGTTTATGGAGCAAGGTGGGTGACGACTGCAGGCTGTAACGGTAACATTAGACAGTTCCAATAAAACCTGTAAGGTGTCTACGTGCTGCAGTACAACATTGGTTAGCTCTATCTTTGCAGCAGACTAATTCTACCAGGGGACGTAGCGTTTTTTGACAGTATTCCATACAGAAATAATAATAATAAAACCGCTTTGATATCACCACAAACATGCGTTATACTGTTATGCTACTCAGCGTATGTTTTGACAACTTATCAAAATGATATATGTTTTTCCGAAATAACTGTGTGCTTCACCGGAAACATATCGTGCTTCTAAATGTATGATCTACATTCTGGTATCACGTGGTTTTCTGTACAATCTGGTATCACGAGGTTTTCTGTACATTCTGGTTTTACGTGGTTTTCTGTGCAATTTGGTATCGGGTTACTTTCTGTACATTTTGATATCACGTGTTTTATTTGTACAATTTGGTATCACGGGATTTTCTGTCATTCTTGTATCATGGGATTTTCTGTAAAATCTGGTATCGTGTTTTTCTTTACCATCTTGTAACACGTGGTTTTCTTTACAATCTTGTATAACGTGTCTTTTCCCAGTAGTTTGTTGTATCCTATTAAATATTAAATCGATTCATGTAACATCGAGTTTAATGAAATATACGCAAATATATTAAATACAACAAAGACGTTTGTATGAGTATTCCTAGCCGCTTAGAACCAGGTTGTAAGCTGTATCTCTTTGTTTTATGTATTCCCCTGTTTTGTATTTAGCGGCCTTGTGTGGAATGCTGGGATACCGACAATTCTTTACCTCTGATTGGCTAGAAAAAATCCTGAGTTGGCAGGACCAAATAACCGGATGTTACAAAGGGAATCCAGTAAGGGAGACGGATGTCGGTAAGTAGACACAACTAAATTTTTAGGTTGTAACAAAGCGTCAAACTATGTTTAATTATTTCAAGAATATAAAAGAATGACACTAGTGAAAGATTATTGCTTAAAGGATAAAAACATAATTGATTTGTTAAAATGAAGGCTTAAATGTTTTCTCGGATGTCTTGTTTGAAGTGTTGGTTTCGGAGAGACATGTTTTAATGACACGTACAGATTAATCACATTTCAACTTTTTGGAGCTTTAATTGTTCGTCATAACATAAGTCATAATGTAACAGAGTAATACACAGATCTTGTACTCCGACGTGAGCCCACCGCGCCCCACATGACCAGAGTTCGTGCTGAGGACTGTTTACACTCAAGGTTTTTGCTAAACGGAAGATGACTGATGACTTCCTTGGGACCAGTTTGGAAGACAGAACGATCAAACACTTGTTTGAGAGACTGTTGCCTCCTCGGCGGACGGTAGACAGCCGACAATATGACGGAAGTCCCGAGGCGACCCACATGGTGTTGTCACCGTCAGGTCTGTCGCCGTTATTGATAGAGAAGCTGAATCTGAAGTAAAGTGGGGACGTACCGACTAATCAACTCAACACCTAATCAGTCAATAAAGATATGTGTTCCTGAATGAACCCAATAGGTGTTCACTACCAAGTTAACATCCATAGATCACAGCCCTTTTGATCCAACTAAGTGTGACGTACTAAAGGTTTAAATTGATTCGGTTATTGATATCGAGTCGGAAGAAAAACATTGAGAAAAACACTAAAATTTTATATCAGCGAAGAAAACATGTGACTCCTCGGAAATTCATATTCAACGAGCCATTCGAATAAAAAGTATGCGTGTTTAGACCTTTACATCCTCATAAAGTGCTACTTATGACTCCAACTAAGCCGAATGGCTGGTTTTACGTCAGTATTTAATGTTAATCGATATGAATTTGACGTCCCCTACAGCCCCGAGGAGCTGTACGTTTATCTGTCGCAGCTAGGCTCGCTTCATCATCATCCGAGCCCTGCGTGTCTCGCGAGACGCTTTAACTCGATAACTAATGTTCTTTATCGCAGTAAACACAAGTAAGGCGCGGATGATATGAAACAGATAACTCATTTAATATCAAAATCAATGACTGTTTAATATAGCCGTTACCGACCTGTCTCACCCTGTCCACGAACTGACCCGCCCAAGAGTCCGAGCGCCACACCTCGGATAATCACACCGCCGCATGCCGACCTCGGCTGTCTTCATGACGTCCGGCATGGAATCCTCGCTCGCTTCCCAGAAGGCCCCGGTCTAGCGGATGTTTTAGCAATAACAGTTTCGCAGTGAATACATCACGTTTGTTTAGCAGCTTGATGATGGTTATCACAGCACATTCGATCCCACCAACTGAAAAACTGTCCTGAAATATAACATGTTTTTCTATCACCAATGTAACTACCGTCGTGCATTTGTCTTTTAGGCAAAATTGATTTATGAAAAATGATTTAAAGTTATCAAAAGTATTTATTAGACGTACTATGTCTAAATGAATATAATATGTATGTTGTTTTATTTCACTGTGAGATTGGAAAAGCGTGTATGGTAGGCTTACAACCAGCTGGATTCATTTCCACTATTACATTGGTTCCCTATAGTGTACCCCCAACCTGATACCCTCTGTCTGCCATTACATTCAATGTACCCGGCAGTGAACTAGCTATACATTTCTTTTATTGAAATTAAATCCACACTCACATGTATATATGTGACGCCGAATCTTATTCCAACTTCTTTCTTCTCTTTTGTTTAAATATCTCCGTTAATATATGGGTTTAATGACCAATGGCTTTGTATAAAATTTAGATGGCTGTTATGTATTAACATTGTAATAACCATACGATTGAGAGTTAAATAGAGGAAAAAATAAGGATAAAAACTCCTAAATTGTATTTCATATCGATTGAAATATACAAGAATAGAAAAATAGGATTAAAGATTACAAAACAATAAAATGCAAAATTCAGATAAACAGAAACTGATATTTGAAAATTGTATTTTACAAAAATAGAAATACAAAATTCGGAAAAATACAAAACCTATCATGTACAATCGTTTAATTATAATTGGAAATACAAAAGTTGAAAATAAGGGCAATTGAAATAAATAAATGCATACACGTGGAAAAATATCATGATGGTTCTCACTTCCATAAGTACCGTCATCTTCGGAAAGTCATTCTGAGCCTATCACCCGTAGAGATCGCTGACTTTTTGGACATAAAACGTAATGGTTGTGGCTAGCCACTTTCATACATGACACTTCCATACCTGAACTGAACTTGTAAATTATTAATTGAAATTCATAACTCATATTTTTATCAATTTCATAGGAAATTAAATCCTGGTTTTGCAATTGTAACTTTTACGTTCAAGGTCTTGTTTTACATGTACCAGGTATTTGACGTTATTTGGTAGATTTTTCAAAGTTGACGGTTTAATATGTGCTTATCTTCTCGTCAGATTTCCAGGTCGGCACACCAGGGGGAGTTTAGGAGACTACGATCGACAGAGGGCGTTTGTTAAAACATAAAGTAGTGTTTGGTTTCACAGATTTGATTTTTTTTT